CATATCCTTGTGATGTTATTTTCGTACATTTGAGATTGTTGTGCACCTCTATGATGATCCAAAGATATCAGAGTGTATGGAAGGCAGACAACATCACCAAAGCTGTTCTTTGACACCAATGGCTCCACTGTGACACTTCAAAGTCTTAAGATTAGTATATTTTCATATGGCACTCTATTTCTTTTCTCCTCTGTGTCTAAGAAGAAAATATGAATCTCGTTACAGATAAATTAGGAAGTCTTCAAGTTCAAAGTAATTAGTAAGAGAGGGAGGTCTTTCTAAATAACCAGGCATGTAACAGTTCTAAGCCATGTATCTACTCCTTTTTAGAAACATTAATAGCCACAAGACTGAAGAATTACCCTTTGAGAGGAGGAAGAGATGGAAAAAGGGGCATTTGATATTTATAAATATGTGTTCACTATGTTTATTCAAGCTATACTCATTTAATTAATGTAAGTTCACTATATTCATTCATACTACACATGGCTTGAAAAGGACAGAAAAGTAGGAGCTAGGAAATTATAGGGCAAAGGCACAATCAAACAAGGTAAAAGACAGCAAACCATTTTCCACACTTTCACTTGAACAAACACCCACGAGACCAATGAGAAGTTCATACCTGTTTCCAGAACTGCATGCCTCTAGGTTACTGCCAGCCTCATGGAACTGGAGCCATAGGAAAGGCAATTTCCTCCAGAAAGACTCCAGAAAGCAGCCCTGTTTTCTTTAGCAGTGTTTCCAGGTCACCCTGGAGTTCAATCCTCCATGATGACTGCCAACTCTGTTGTCCTTTTGTAGTTTAAATTCTAAGGTGGAACTTTCTTGATTAAATATCTTTAAATATATTCTGCCAGATGAATCAAACCCAGCGATGACCTTGATTCAACCAAAGACCTTGATTTACACACTTTCTAATATGTGTGTGTTGAGAACAGCTGGAGAGGAATTCATGGCGTCAATGAGTAATGACAGATACATCTTAGATAGTGTGGGCGAAGTCAAAGTATTGAAAAAGAGAAGTTAGGATAGGGAGAAAGACAGAAGCTGATTAGAAAATAATTTCTGCCTCTTGGTAGGAAACCCTTGGCATGGAACTGGGCCATGATGTCTGACAGAAGGACCAGCCACAACGCCAGAAGGAAGAAGGCTAGAAGAACACTCTAATTGGTCTCAAGATCTCTGCCCTCTATCACGGCCACTTGCTTTCTCCTAATGCTGGAAGATCATCCTTCTTTTTCATGCTCATCTCTCCATTACAGAGTGCCACACAATCCCTTGGAAATAGCCATTTCCCAGAACAAACAACATTTTGTGGCAGATGAACAGGAAACAAACAGCTGATGTCATTCAGTATTTTACCTGAGTGACTTTTCAGAGAACGGGCACCCTAAAAAATAATTACTGGAAAAGTTCACGAACTTATAATCAAATGTGATTCAAAATTCTTTGAGGGGAAAAAAAAAACTCTGTTTTGTAACATGAGCAATGGCACCCTGTGACTTCTACCAAAATGGCAGCAGGACATCAAGTGGAGGGTGAGAGGAAAGCCCCCTCCCTCTAAATCCATGCTGCAAGTCAATCTTACGTCTTATACTCTTACAGTTAAAAATCAGGTAAAATCCAAGACCTACACACCTATTACAGAAACAACTTGAGATTCTTTAACAGGTGGAGCTACAAATCCTGACACAGAGTCAATGAGAAAAGGGGTTTAGAAGTTCTAATCACTTTGGACCCATTTTCTCTCCAAATTTAATTGCAGTCTTTTCATATTTTTCCACTCAAGTGCCAATAATGCCAGGGATGAAATAGAGAAGATACACAATAAAGTGTCTCCAAATTCTCACATTTTTATTCTTAAATATTCATGCTTATTTGCATTCTTCTGCATAATATATTGCTTTGGTTTCAATTTAAACTTCTACTCCAAATCAACAATTAAAATCAACTTCAGTAAAATATATATTTACTTTGTGACTCTACCTAATCCTAGATACATGTTTACAGACTTCAGTACTGAAGGTCTCAGATTAGTTTAAAAGACTCATATTTTTTCCTCGTCAACCACAATTCAACCAGTGAGCAATGTGTTATTTCTCTGGTGCTCCCAACAAAATTAACTTTCTTAGCATGTTAAAGGTTTATCATGAGAATTCAAAAACAATTTCTAAAATCTAACCTTGACTCTTGACTTAATGATTGAATTAAAATAAGTTACACTGTTTTCATACTTGATCAAAGTTGGAAGCATATCGTTGCTGACATATTTTCCTCTCAATGCTGATTTAGGTGGTTCTGAATAGAAAATATTTTCTCAGGTTTAGAAAATCTACTATCTGTGTCACTATCTTCCCAGTAGAGAGAATCTTGGAACTTGTCTTATAATGACTTTCCGTGGCTGATCATATAGAATACATGGAATTGACTTCATGAGAAATTGCAGACAGAGCATCAAAATCAAGTCCTAATATTCTGATTAAATAACTCCTTCCATCCTCTGTTCTCCAAGTCAGTCTCTGAAGCCAGAAGATGCTAGATACAGCTTTGAATATGAGATTTTCCACTTCCATCCTGAGTTTCCGTATTATTTCCTTCTGGAAACCAATGCAAAAGGAAAGGCGACAGCTTTCCATAGAAATGCTGTACAACTTCTTAAAAGAAGCCAGACACAAATGACTACATATCAATATCTGATTCCATTTATATGAAAGGTCCAGAAAGGCAAATTTATGGAAACGAAGCACAGAAGTAGTTGGCTAGAGCTTAGGGTAGGAGCAGGGATTTCCTGCAAATAAGCATGAGGAAAATTTTAGAGGTGACAGAAATGTTCTAAAATGTGATTGTGGTGATGTTTGGACAACTCTATAAATTTAATTAAAGTCATTGAATTGTAGGCTTATAATGGGTGAATTTTATGGTACGAAAATTATACCTCAATAAAGCTCCTTAAAAAAACAAAAAGACAAAAATAGAAAACTCCAGGCTTTGGAGAGAAAGGATGTTTCAATTAGACTTTTAATGATCTAAATATCATGAGAAATGTTTAAACATAGCAAAATAGGACATTGCTTAAAGTAACTAAAAGTGATGCCAAGACAAGCATATAGCAGTCTAGTAAGTGCTTATTTATATAGATTTTAAAATTTCTTCTCTTTTTGTTAATTTAGATGGAACATTTGCCCCCCAAAAAGTAAAATTGGGTTTTATTAGTTTTTCATCCCTATATCTCCCACCAAGAAAGAAGGTTAAATTAGCACCTATAATAGACTTAATAGGATGGAATAAACATGTAAAAGTTGGATTATTTTTATTCCTACATAAAGCCCCTAGCAAGGAAAGAATCAAGAAATGATGAAATAATGTTGAGAATTGTGTGTGCTAAATGCCAACTAATCTAATTTTCTCTTCCTGGGTGTATTGGAAGACTACATTTCCCAGCTTTGTTTGCATTTAGAATGAATGAGATCATGTCTGGTAAATAAAATATGGGCAAAAGTAATGTATGTCACTTCCAGGCAAAGCAATAAAACTTATTGTACAACCATCCAAGCTCTCGTTCTCTCTCTTCCCTGTGGATACAGCTGGAAGTGAAGAAATCCAAGGTGGCAGACCCACCTCACAGAAGGATCCCAGATCACTTGATTACTTCTTTGAATAAAAAAGTCCAGGAGAGCTGTCCAATTATCATTTAACTTTGCCTGAACAAGAAATAAACTTTTTGTTGATCCATTGAAATTTTGGGATTGCTCATTATAGCATTTAGTGTTAATTAGCCTAACTAATACAATATGTTGTAGCACTCGAAGCGTATTTCCCCCTTTTTTTCCTTTTTTCCCTTTTTTTCAGTGTGGCCTATTCTTCCCTAATGCCTATTCTTCCTGTTCTCTTTACATCCCCTTCCTCATTGACTCCAGTTAATGTGCAGAGGCAGAGGGAGAAATGCATGAATTGTTTTCAGCTTGTATCTTTTAGGACCCTTCTACAAGAACTAGAGTATTCGAACGGGATAAGTTGACAATAATAGACCACAATCTTTCCTTCTGCAGAGCCAGAGTGTGTCTCAAGTCTTTGGTTAAAATATTGCATTATTGCCAAGAGCAGTGCTTTGCCTATCCCACTAGAAGTCCCCAACAGTGATAAATGCCAGGAAAGAAATGTCAGAGTTGGCAGCCACCTCTGGGTCATGAACTTTGCTTTTATTATCTGAAGCTTTTGGTAGTGGAGAAGTGCATGCTGGTTGCTCTAAAGCGTTTTGTTCACTCTGAGAATTATTTCCCAAAGACAACAAATTACCATTTCAACTCATTTTCAAGTTATTTCATTATTCCCATGCCCTTTCCTGCTTTTCTACATATAGAGCAAGGAAAGAAGAGAGGACCTGCCCCAATTCAGAAACCACACCCAAGCCACACTCAGCCCTTTCCCTTCACCCACCCCTCCAGATCCCCCCAACTTCATTGTCAAAAAAAAAAATAATTCAAATAAAAAACAGCTCATAAAACAGTAAACAAAATAAACTCAGTTTTTCTTTCTTTTTTTTAAGAACAAAATGAAACTTGAGGGAAAACTTACTGGAGTTACAGTTTATCCTGATACAGTCTAGATGGGGAAAAATAAATGAAAGATGAAATTGCATCCTTCAAGGTAACAGCTGCAGACATCCAAAAACAATCAGTCCACCCTTCCGGGGACAGACACACGCAAGAAATGTGGCCATTTTATATATATACAGTATGTACAAGTTTAAGGGTGGGTGTATATGTACAGTATATTATTTAGTAAAGTTGGATACATATATATATACACACACACACATATATATACACATATGTATAGAGATATATACTGGTATACATATATATCCACAATAGACACCAAGCATGTTTTTTTTTAAAAAAAACCTATTCATTTATATAAATTTAAACTTGGACTTTGAAATATTAATTTTGTTAAACTTGGAAAATTAGGCAAAAATTCCCCCACCAAATGCAGGTTATATTCTATTTCCCCCTTCAATTTATTTTCTTAAAATTTACCTTTAAAAGTAGCATTAACACAATTTTTGTATTAGTATTCCAAAGATATATCACCAGTCTGACACACGGTATTCTTTTAAAAATCTGCCCATAAAGTCTCTCAGTTCAGTATTTAACCCTTTCTCTTTTTCTAAAAACAAACTCCCTCCACCCCTCTCCTTAGGACGGGCCCGGATGCTACAGAAATTTGCATAGGCAGATTTGCCATCATCCTTAGAGGTGAGAAAAGGGTTAACACCACCTGGTCATTTCCCATCATAAAATGGCCACTTGCAAACAGCTAACCGCACAAACACCCATCCCAGATTTTAGAGAGGTGGGGTCAGGTGTAGGGTGAAAGGGGTTGTATGATGTTGTCACAGTGGATCGCTATTCTCTCAAAGGCCCCCAGACCAACCCCCTCATGAAGCCCATCTCTGTCTTCCTGCCCGAATGCTCAGACTGAATGAAGGGCCTGCAGCATTCGGGGAGAAGGCAAGGCAGGCACGTGTGGAGGAGGTCTCGGCACCTTTGACATTCTGCCTGTTTCACTCTGTGATTCTGTACTTCGAGGGGAAAAAATCCTGTGGTTTTCATTTTATTTTATTTTTCTATGGGAAAGAGAAACAGGAAAAGGGTGGCTAATTGTCCAGTGCTGGTAACCAGACAAGGTAGTCCGTGTCCGAGACCAGAGTATCTGTCACTGTATTAATCTCTATTTGAGAGTCATGGGCACACGCCATAAACATTCTTCAGTAGAGTCAGTGGGCATCAGTAGGGATTGGGCAGGAATGGTTAGGCAAATGTCTCAGGTGAGTTGTTACCAATCTGCCCGGTTGAACCTAAGGTGGGTTTATGTTGGTGGGAATTCTAGTAAGAATTTGTTTAAAGTCAGATATTGAAAAGTAGAAGAAGTCAAGTGATTTTTTAAAAAGGAAGAAAGGTATAGGAAAAAATACAGTTACAAACTGTGCTCTTCCACTTAAGTTTGACCCAACAGTTTTTAGAGGGCTTGTCAAGGACAATGCCACCATTTGAATTTCCCGAAGCAAACCATCATAAGCAAGTGAAAAAGGAACCAGTGGCAACCAATAGGGCAGAATGAAACTATGTGAAGTCTGGATAAGAGCAATTTATAACACCCAATTATTCTGAGGAAGGAGGCAGAAAGCTTATTTGTTCCCCCAGAAGAACATCTCTTGAGAAAAATCTGGGTTTGGTTTCGTGCGGTTAGGTTTGTCATGTGTCGTCAACCGCAACAGAAAAGTGGGAGCAAACAGCCCTGGAGCAACCGGTACGACCACCAGACAGAGAAGGCCATGCCCCTGGTGGGGACGGGGAGGGAGAGAAGGAGGAAGGCTTCAGCTATTGGTTGTACCTACAATCCCCCAACGCTGGACAAATGCTTCTTCCTGATGTATGAGAGAAAGAGGGCAACAGGTGTTTGGGTATCCTTAAGAGACAGGAAAGAGTGGACCTAAAGTAACAAAACCAAGGACTGCCAACAATAAGTGGTTCACTTATTTGGCTTTTGTGCAGCAGAGGATTTTATTATTGGATAAGAACCTCTCCCTCCTGGGAGAGGTACTGGGCTGGACTCATCCTTCTAGGTCGTGCAAATGGTTCCATGTGAAGTGAAGTGAAGGGTCTTTAAACCAATGTGAGGACTGGAAGCTTTCAAGATGGCAATTTGTTTCTTTTAATCAACATGTGAAGAATTATGTCACCACTTTATCTGAAGAATAAGTAGTTCGAGGAGAAAAATCCACCCCAGTCCTTTCTTCATACGATCTCAGGGAGTGGTCTTGTTAGTGAGAATATATTTTTTTAATAAAAAACGAGTCAGGGGAATTGATCTGGCAAGGCAATTTCTTTACAGCTATCTTTGGTAGCAGCCGAAGTTCTCTCTGTTTGAAAAAAGACTACCTAAATCTTGGTATGTCTTTGGAGGAGGGAGGAAGGGAGGGAGGGAGAGGGGGAAGAGAGAGAGAGAGAGAGAGAGAGAGAGAAGAGAGAGAGAGAGAGAGAGAGAGAGGGGTCAGGGTTTTATTTTAGTAAATGAGGAGAAATTATTAATTTCCATATTGGTGAGCTTTGAGTTGAAGATAGAAGAGGCGAGTGGTTCTAATAGTTGTGTATTTTCAATACTGCATAGAGTAAACAGTAGTCAGCAAGTAGATTTCCAGAGAGAGAACATTTGGAGAATTGGGATGCAATTAGCCAAACTGCATGTCACTCCCTCAGAGTCTCTGCCATGGAAGAAGGGGCCCTGGAACTTTGCTGAGGACCCTCAAGACTCTGCCCATATCAACTGACTTTTCTGCAGTAGCTCAGTTCAAACCGGGCACTAAGGAAAATGGACGTTCCCTGTGTGCATGCTTCAAAGGTGACCAACATGAAAGCAGTTAGAAGTCACTGGACTGATACCGCATTGATGTGTGGAGGGCACGGGTAACCCACGCTGCTCTAGCCGTTTGTAGACAAGGGTTCTAGTCCCGGCTCTCCTACCAACTTTTTGTGTAAGCTTTGAGAAATCATATACATGTTTCACACATGCAAAAGTAAGCATAAAAACACTTTCTTGATATATCTCACAAAATTATCATGAGATTAAAATAAGACAAGGTCTTTTAAATCTTTGGATATACTATAATAATGAAATATTATTATATATTTTAATTCTAAAAGATCAAACAATGGCTGATCAATAGCTAACCTCATAACTTTTAAAAACGTGCTGTGTGTTGTGGGATATTTCTTAGATCTGCTGTCAGCACATAGGTCTTCAGAAAACAAAGCCGTTGGAAGACCACTCTCCTTGGTATTCATAAGATATGTTAATCAGAGAAATATATATTAGGCCTTTATATCATGAGCTTATATGTGTGACCAATGTAAAATAAACTGGAATATTATTTGTGCATGTGCTAGAAAAAAGACAACGTAAATGGAGTGAGGGAACAAAGTGACCTTGGAAATTAGTTTTGGTGGAATGTGTGACTGCAAACTCTGCTTGGAGACATTTTCTTCTGTAACCAAGAAGAAGGAAATGTGAATTCATGACAAGGATAAAGAAAATATTCATGAAGTGGTCTATTTTGGGGAGGGACTGAAAGGATAATTTGAATAAAGTATGCAAACGAAGATTTATACGTACACAAGCACAAGGAATTTCAGGTCAGTTTTCCATGTCAGGTTTGAAGGGAAGTTAAATAAATTCAGACCAGTAATTGTGATGAACCATATGTTTTAGGGTAAAAAGAAAGCATAGTGTGCTCTTTTGAGGGGCTCTCTTTTGCCTAAGATGTTTTAATTTAGTAGGAGCTAGATCGATGGTGTGCAAAAAGAAGCCAAAAGGCAAAGGCAAAGTCTATTTGAAAAGCACATCTCCCGTATTTTGGCTAGAGTTTAAAATAGAAAAATATTGCTTTTAGGAATACACGTGGGATCTATGACTAATTCAGCGTGTGTGCCCATGTGTACACGTAAGAGAAAGAGAATCTGTCCACCTATTTCCTTCATTGCTCATCCCCTTTTATCTCTCCCCCTCACCCCAGTGTTTCCTTCTGAGATGTGAGACCTGTCACAGTTGACATTCTAATCTTTACAAAACAATACGTAATAAGGAAAAAAAAAATGTCTGTTTAAAGACACAGTGTGTACTCCCCTCAGAATCCCGTAGGACTAACTCGTCCTCATGTGTATGTCTCTCTGCTACTTTAAAAAAGATACAGAGATAAAATGGTCTTTATCGTCTTTTTCCGTGAGCTAGTTAGGAAGTTGTGTTGGTTTTTGTTTTTGTTTTATTTTTGTTCTTAATTCCTTCTGTTGTTTTTCTGAGAAGTAGATAATCAACTACTAGTTGTCGGTTTTAGGTAATACATTCTTACACTGGCTTGCTTAAGGCGGAGAGGATGGTGTAGGGAGGGGGGGCAGGAGGGACAGGGGTATGCCAGTCCCTGTAGGCTGCTCAGTACTCTCTGTTCTCAAGGCTGTTTGCTATGCGGGCCGCAGGCTTTGGGCCTTTGAAGGGTTGAATACCATCTTTTGATTTACCATGGTTGATGGTGGGGAGGATTAGAAACTCAAGAACACAGAAAAGATTCAGCAAAAGAGAAAAACCAAAACCTAAAATAACCAAACGCACACATACACAAACAAAAGAAAAACCAAGAGACACATTGACAACAGAAATCGAATAAGGTTGGACAAGAAAAATGGCATAGTGTTGAAAAGCTGCAAACCAGGAGAAAAAGAAAAAGACATAACTAAATAAGCCACTGCTCAAAACAGTCCTCTGTGTCCTAGAGATTTTAGGATTATGTTGTAGGCATTTTCTAAGTGTGACCAGTAGACCTGACAGCAAATAAGACTGGTATGGAATAAAAACTCCGCCTTCCCACCAGGCCACACAGATCCATCTGTACGTGGGCTTGCATGTGGTCCATTTGTCCATCACTTCTCCACGCCTCTGACAAGCCAGTCCACCGAAATCTTTATAAAGGAGCACTGTATCCAAACATACTCCATATACCCAAATAAACCCATTAGCTTAGAAAGTTTGGACTCAGCTATATCACTAATCCTGTCAAAACTGGGCATTGACTTTCTGCTAAGTAGAAATAGCAGAAATAGAGATTTTTCCCTCCTCTATTTCTTTATTCTTTAAGAGGCCCTCATTCTCCACAGAAGGTCAATTAGAATCCAGTAGAGAAGGGCAATAGCAGGAGAGAACATGAAGCTCTAAGAAGGAAAATTTCCAAAGTGTCTGTTATAGTTAATTACATTGAAAGAACAGATCTTGTTCTTATAAAGCTACAAATTTGAAGTTGTCATACTTTTTCAATTTTAAGGTAAAATGCATATGTATTATAGGAAGATAACAGAGTAACCGGTAACAGTGTGAGGTAACAACCTGTGCACAAAGGGCTGCTGAGTGATGTTTGAGAATGTTAGGAAGAAAAATGGGCACATGTATTAGCATCCATGTTTTCCTTCCACATGTCAGAGAGTCCAAAGTTAGGGAGTTGTTCTTCCAATGGGATGTCAGAAATAATCTGACTCTGTTCTCTCACTACGAAAACGTACAAGGAGATATCAGCGCTATCACAGCTGCCAGAATTCCCCCTTTCAATAGTCATCGTGGAGCTGGAAACAAAGCCCTTCTGCCTTACTCACAGGGCTTAGTTCTCCACAACCCACCCTTTCATTTTGCTTCCACTTCCTGCCGTTGCCCTTGGCTTTGACTGTTTTGAGTGGTGACCCAGGAGCTGGACTTAATGGGAATATGATTGATCAAAAGATGGACCAAAGTAGCGTGTTTTACACAAAGCTAAACGATTCCAAAAAACCAAGAAAGGAAACTTAGAAAATAAATAATCTAGTAAAGAAACCACCACTGTCAGAAACCAGAAATCGACATCAAAACCTCATGCAGAAATAAGGAGAAGGTGTTTGTTGCTGTTGGGTTTTATCCTTGGTCTATGAAACAAGAGATGAGCGGCTAACTTTCAAGAAACAAAGAATTCAATCAAACCAATGAAAACCAGAAAAGAAAGGGAAGACAAGCCCAAACAGATTGGCAGAGGGTACTTCATACGATACCTAAGTTAACCATGAGCTTGACGCGCCCCCCGTCCAGCTCCAGGCGTAGGGTGTCGGCAGAGTCCCTGGAGGTAGTAGCCACCAGCAGCCCGTAAGCTCGCTGGGACATGAAGCGGAAGGACACGTCCTCTGCCTCGGTGTGCATGACCATGGGCATGATGATCTTCATGTACATGCTGCCATCATAGCTCAGGATGGACGCCTCTGCCAAAGAAGAGAGGAGGAGATCGTTAAGGTGAAGGGCGTTAGAGTTGCCAAATGCTCCTTTGCTTTCAGGCTGAGTACAATAGAGAGGGCACCCAAATTTATGACCAGATGACTTGTGTTTTATTAACCCCCACTGTTGCCACGTTTTAACTGTGTGACCTTGGGCAGAACACTTAAACTCTGAGGCTCTATTTCCTCATTTGCAAAGGGCGCGTCATGGCACGATACCTGCCCACCATGCTCACAGACTTGTCAAGGGTGCTAAATTAATTAATGGATATTAAGGCATTTTGCTATAGTCAAATGCCCCCACAAGTCATAGTACCTGCAATTCTGTATGCTGTAGATAAAACACAAGTACATGAAACAAAACTTATTATAGAATCCATGTATTTCATGAAGATTAAGCAGAGAGCAGTTTATAAGCACCTCAGCACACAAATATCTGCCAGAGAGCTTCTAGAAGAAGAGGGCAGCAACACAGCCTGGCACCATAACAGCCCCAGTGGCCAGGCATTGTGAGTTTGCATGGCCCATTCAAAGAAGACTGACAGAGCTAGAGCTGGAAAAATGACAACAATGAACAGTTGATGACACCCTTGAGAAACTCATTTTACTTTTATACATATTACTTTTATTTGGTATCTTCCTCAGTCTAAGCACCTGGGTTAGGATCCCCACCCCAGGCATAGGCTATGTCATTTAATGTTACAATGTGGGTCTATTATTTGTGATTTCAAACAAGAAAGCTAAAGCATTTAGAAAGGGAGGTAATCATCCCAAAGTCACACAGCCTAGATTTTAACTCAATATGTCTATTACCAAGTCCAGGGACTGTTTTGCAACACTATGGTGCTTAACATGTGAAATTGTTTAGTCATTCATTTGGAAAATATTTTTAGAAAACACAGGAAGAGGATATAACTCACATTCCTAAAAGCCAGCCTGCCACTAGGCTCAGTATCTGGCACTGAGAGGTCTTCATTAAACATTTGTTGTTTTCAAATATTTGCGACTTACATTCACTGGGAAGAATATAGTGGTGAAGCAGACATGGTCCCTGCTCTAAAGGGAGACACAACATACACAAATAACTGTACTAGAATATAAAAAATGATTAAATCACAGAGGAAAGAGATACAAAGCCAGTGGCATTCGGAGAAGAGAGGCTGAGGGATACGGGTGAGTAAGGAAGCCGGGGTGAAGTCTGTGCTGGTCTTGGGACATGGGTGGGGTTTGCAACAAAAGAAGTGACGGCATAAGATTTGACAGGTAGATCAGATAGCATCTTTATAAAGGAAAGAAAGAAGGGGGATGCTCAGATAATAAACTATTTTATTTAACAGAAGCAGCTGACATTTAGTTTTGGAAATAGTTCTATAAAGGTAGTTTGAGACTGGAATAAAATCAAGGGACTTGTGCAGGTACTGAAAAGTAAGTTAGTGGTTTTAGATTAGGAGGTACTACGATACATTCCTTTGTGCTTACTGAGTGCCAGGCACTCTTCTAGGTGTTATGGACATAGCAGTGAACAAAAGGGATAAGGAACCCTGTCCCCATATACAGGAAGAAACAAAACATGGAGAGACAAGAGGTAGGCAGGCCACATGGAAGGGTCTCAAAATAGTCTGTCATCATCATACCCCCACCCCATTTACACAACACATAAAAGATCCATTAAAATTAATATAAATGTACCTACTCATATTCCTGGAAAGAAACCACCTTCCAGGTAAAACTGATGACATGCTAATAGCTGCACATTACGATTCTCAAACTCTGAGAGTGCCACAAATAAAAGTGTGACAGTTGCAGACATCATCACAATAAAAGACGTATTATGATGATCTGTTCTTAGATGGGAAACATAATCTAAATTTAACACATGCTCCAGATGTGAAAGCAACAATTTTATCTCCTGGAAGAACAGAATAAAAAAAAAATCAATAATGACAACTAAAATTTATTGAGCACTTACTATTTGCCTGGTGCTTTCCAGGACTTTATATGCATTAAGAAGTCATTTAATCCTCAAGAACACCACGAGAAAGACAATATTGTATTTTCTAGATACCAGGTCACACAGCTAATAAATGGCTGAGCCGGGAGTTAAATGCAGGCAGTCTGATTCTCCCAGCTGTGTTCTTAGTTTTGCCAAATTGTCAGAGAGCTATGCCAGGAGAGCACTCATGTTTCCAAGCGTCGAAGCATATCTATAATGCTTTATGATAGGGTATGGTGTTCTTGTGTATGTGTGTGTGTGTGTGTGTGTGTGTGTGTGTGTGTACAAACACGTCATTATTTAAAGTCATCTAGTATTTATAAATATACAAAATTATATAGGCACAGAGGGTACATATATTTCTAAATATTGTTCTATATGAATATGCACAATGCTCTGTGTGTTTGTGTAATTATGACCACTGTTAATTGTCAATACTCACCTTCTCCTACATAGCATCACACTCTTTAAGAGATAGTAGGATATTAAGTGAATCATGAGATGGTTGTTTTGATACATTCAACTTAAATACATTACAAAATCAATGAACCCTTTGTCCCTCTGGTTATGTGTAGTGCCAGAACATACATATAAATAATCGCATCTTTATGTCAATATTAGCAGTATTAGAGTATTGGTAAGTATCAAGTGAGTATGTAGTTAACAACTAATAATACAAAATAAGGTATGTATCTCAATATTTACCTTTGTGTGAATCTCTGTGTGTTCTATTATTAACCTAATATTTTTACAAAAAGGGTTGTGCAGCAGAAAATTTAATACAGGAATCAGCTGAAACAAAATCTGTTACCTGGATTCATATTAATTTGCTTAAAAGATTTCAAATGCAATGAGTTCCATGAATAGGATACTAATTTTAGGGGGGAAAATAAGCCTACTAAGGAAAATTATTCTATCAAAAATATATCCAATTATTGAGTATTTGAGAGACCACATCACGAGATATCTACCTACCCAATGGTAGGTAGATATTTCCCCATCTTGTTCTTCTTCTTCTCCTTTATTACCTCCTTTTGTCTTAAACGAATATTTTTAAGTATACTATTTTAATTGAATAATTTTTAAATACATTTTTGTACTACTTTCTTATTGATTGCTCTAGGGCTTATAATATACATCTTAATTTGCCAGAATCTACTTCATCTTTATGTTAACTTAATTCCAGTAAAATGTAGAAACTTTACTATTGTATAGCTCTCTTCCCTGCCATCTTTGTGTTATTATTCATATTACATCTACATATCTTACAAACCCAACAATACACTACTGTAATGATTGCTTTATAAAAACTCATGTCTTCTTTTAAAAAGCTACAAGAAAAATGGAGAGCTCAAATACATTTATAGAATGGCTTTTTTTAAATTAAGCTCATTATTTACCATCTCTGACTCCCTTCATTTCCTCCTGTGGATTCTAGTTACCATCTGGTGTCATTTCCTTTTTCCAATATAGCTTCATTCATTTGTGTTTTATTGTCAAATATATTATAATTCTGTACGTGATAGGAACAATGCAATTTTATAGATATTGTTTTATGCAATTGCTTTTAAATTCGATTAAGAAAAGAAGGAATCAGAAATGTATATTTATACTGTTTTATCATTACCTACATAAAAACCTTTACTGGATCTTTTTTAATTCATGTAAATTCAAATTACTCACGGCTGTCACATTTTTCTAGCCTGAAGTAGTTCTTTTAATAGTTCTTGTAAGGTAGGTATGCTAGTAATAAATTTTCTGGTTTTGTTTATCTGGGAATGTCTTTATTTCACATTCATTTTTAAAAGAGATCTTTGCCGGATATAAGACTCTTGGTTGACAGTTTTTGGTTTTTTTTTTTTTTTTCCCTTTCAGCATTTTGAAAGTCATCCTCCAGTCTTTGGCCTCCATTGTTTCTGAACAGATGTCAATTGTTAATCTTATTGTGGTGCCCTTGGATACGATGGGTCATTTTTTTTCTTGCTACTTCCAAGATGTTCTCTTTATCTTTGGCTTTCGACATTTTTATTATAATGGGTCTGAATGTGGATCTCACTACATTTATCCTACTTAGAATTCATTGAGCTTCTTAGATGTGTACATTAGTGTTTTTCATCAAACTTGGGAAGTTTTCAGCATTATTCTTTAAATATCTCTTCAGTCCCCTTCTGTCTTGGTTTTCCCATTATACATATGTGGGTACAGTTAATGGTGCCTCACATATCTTTAAGGCTCTGTTCATTTGTCTTCATTAATTTTTCTTTCTTCTATTCAGATTGTATCATCTCTATTGATCTATCCTTAGAGTTGGCAGACAAAAGAATTAGAGAACTTAATCTACTCTTGAGCCTCTCTAGTGATTTTTTAAATGTAGGTTATTATACTTTTCAACTCCAAAATGTCCATTTAGAGATAAACAGATATTTTATATATATATATATATATATATACACACACACACATACATACACACACACACCCATACACACACACGTGCACATTTTTATCCTTTTAATAATATTCTCTATTTGATGTACCATTGTTATCTCATTTTCTTTAGTTCTTTCAGCATAGTTCTTTGAACATATTTTAACAACTATTTTGTAGCCTTTTTCTGTTAAGTCCAATGTATGAGCCCCCCTAAAGACAATTTCTATTGCCTGCATTTATTCTTGTGTATGGGTCACACTTCCTGTTTCTTCATTTATCGCTTTTGTCACACATTTACGAACTTCACAAACACACACACACACACACACATACACACACACACACACACACACACACATACATACACACACACACCCATACACACACACGTGCACATTTTTATCCTTTTAATAATATTCTCTATTTGATGTACCATTGTTACCTCATTTTCTTTAGTTCTTTCAGCATAGTTCTTTGAACATATTTTAACAACTACTTTGTAGCCTTTTTCTGTTAAGTCCAATGTATGAGCCCCCCTAAAGGCAATTTCTATTGCCTGCATTTATTCTTGTGTATGGGTCACACTTCCTGTTTCTTCATTTATCGCTTTTGTTAAAAACTAGACATTTTATATAACAGTCTAGCAAGTCTGGATACAGACTCCATCACCATCAGGTCTATTTCTTATGGTTTGTTCATATGTTTGTTTATTTAGTGGCTTGACTGAGATAATTCTGTGGCTTGTATTTTTCTAGCAGCGTGAAAGCTCTCATGTCCCGGTCAGATATTTTTTCCTATTTTTATTTTTTTGGCCTGTCTTCCTCGGTGTTGCCCTGGATCAGTATAAGCCCACATATTGGTCAAATATTGTACTTAAGCCCCCTTAGTTAGTTATATTTTTACCTTTTATCTGTTGGATATGTGTGACTTGGAGATTGCTTTCAAGGAGTTTACAATTTTGCCTTGTTTTCAGCTAGGGACTGGCAGCTTGGAAATTGTCCCTCCTGTCACTTTTGAGCAGGTTCGGCCTTGAGAATAAGCACATTCATCCATAACACCATGGACAACTGGCTTTATTTTTAAGCCTGGTTTGCTAGGGACAGCACCTGGGTAAGAGTAACTTCTTGTTCAGCCAGTGTTTGTTGAGAGGTCATGCTTAAGAGCTTCTTGAGCCCATAAGTCTCTTCCCCTAGCCGATGGATCTGTGACTTGAGAATGCTTTCAAATCTGCTGCGTGTCTTACTCTAATTACTTCTGAGTGGATGTAGCCTAACAAATGTATACAATTTTTCAGGCCCTCAGGGATTAGTGTGATCCCCAGAGGGCTCTTCACGGCTTTCTATTCCCCTTATTCTTTCTACTAATTCTGGATGTTTTTCCATCTTGCTCATTGCTACTGGTATCATAGAACTACCTGCTCCCTCTGAATTGCTTGCACCAAGATACCCATTGCTAAAAAAAAAACAAAAAAAACCAGAAACCAAAACAAAACCCTTAGCCACAAACTTATCTAAGCTCTGCTCCAGATAGTCAGTCACCCCAAGCAGAGTATAAAGCTCTCCATCCTTATAGCCTGCATCCACCCCTGGGCAGAACTTCTCTGCATTAGACTCAAGCTGGGAGCAGAAGCAGTGGCCCATTTCTCCCTGAGTGATGTGCCCATTATATGATTGGGCACTGGGGGAAGATGATAGACTCTGGTTTTCTCAGCTTGTCTTTCCCAGCATGGAACCTGTGCCCGTAGCAAGCTGGAGCAGAAACAATTGAAGTCCCAGTATTATTGGCATGCTAAAACTGGAATAGAGTTTCTGCTCTATGAATGGGGGCCGGATAGGAGAAGTGAGCCCCATGGTCTTGGCTGTTCATACTCAGAATACTACTTCTACAACATGGATCTGGGGAAAGTTGAGAAGCACAAGCATCCTGCCCTTTCTGGGGTGAAACTATAGCCCTTGACTGGTTACTAGTAGGTGCGGGAGCTCTTATCCTCTTGGCCACACCAACCTGGAATAAAGCATCCAAAACAAGGAGCAGGGGAGAGGTAGGAGGTGGGAGCATTTTATAGTTTAAATATCACAGCTATCATTTTCTTACTCATATTTAGTAGATCTCTTGAATAAATATTTCTCCATTTGCTATATGTCTTTAGAACAATATTCAGGGTTTTAAATTTGTGTGTATGTGTGTGTGTTTTCAGCAGTTAAACGGTTATATCACAGGGAAGAGGGTCTGCTGAGCTCTTTGTATGTACAGCTATTCCAGAATCTACTTTGGGCTATTACCAGTGCTCCATATACCTTTCTCTATAAAATTGTTCTTAGCTCTAAATGGTGTATATTTGTATTTGTCATAGTAGCCCCATTTCTATTTCTACAATGGTATAAACA